CTCTGCCTTCCTTTTTTTAGCTTTTACACTGTAATTAAGTGTCCTTTTGGTGGTTTACTTAGTGCTGCGTGTTTTGCATGTTTGTGCATTTTGTTGGTGGTTTTGCTAATTAAAATGGCCCCTAAGTGTAGTATCAAGATACTGGTTAGTATTCCTAAGCACAAGAAGGCTGTGATATACCTTATGGAGAAAATATGTGTCAGATAGCAGGCATATTTATGATGCTGTTAATCATGAATTCACTGTTAATGAATCAACAATATATATTAAATAAAATATCATTAAACAGAAACACAGAGAAAACAAGGTTATGTATTGGTTGGTTGATGAAAATGTGACCAGAGGTTCACAGCAACCTAACCTTGTATTTCCCCTAGGGGCAGCAGTTTGGTATTCACTAATTCAGTGTTCACATGACTTTATGGAACATAAGTGTCATGAATAATGAGAATAAATTCTACACATTAAACGCACGCACAGTAATTTTAGGAAGTTAATTTTGTTTACCTTAACGCCAATTTATTGTTTTAACAGCTTTAAATGCAACACCAACAGCTGAGGAGCTTGAGGAAAAAGATCAATTATTTCACCCAATTCCACGTAAGCACAAAACACTTCAATTAAATGGATGCATCAATGCCAGCACACATTTTAGTGTGTGACTTCACTGTGTGGCAATAGTGTTTTCCCCAGTAATGTGAAGTGTATGTGAAAGGGTAGCACGGTGGCTAACACTATATCAGAGAGGACAGTTGCTGTTTTAGAAAAGCAATTGTCCCTAAGCATTATTCTCCAGGTACCATGTTGGAGAGGGCTATTTTTATTTTCCCGTTTTATAACTTCTATTCCTAAAACAGATAAACCAAATGGGGGAGTAGGCAAGTGAATCATATATAGAACACAGTTTGTTTTTTTTTTTAATTGATAGACTCTATGTTCAGAGCAGTTTGGGGCTTACAGAAAAAAAATGAGCAGAAAGTACAGATTTCTCCTATATTTCCTCTACTCAGTTTTTCCTATCATTATCAACTTGCATTGGTTTAGTACGTTTTATAATTTACAAGCCAATGTTGATACATTACTATTAACTGAAGTCCATAGTTTACATTAGGGTCCACACTTTGTGTTGTACAGTTCTGTGGGTTTTGACAGATGCATGATGTCATGTGTCCACCATTACAATCATACAGAGTAGTTACACTGCCCTAAAAATCCCCTGTGCTGCACCAATCCATCCCCTCTGTCACTAATCCCCGGCTACCAACTGCTCTTTTCACCATCTCCATATTTTTGCCTTTTCCAGAATGTTCTATAGTTGGTAACTATAGTGTATTGACTTTCACAAGGCTTTTTTCACTTGTTAATATGCATTTAAAATTCCTCCATGTATTTTTGTGGCTTGATGGTTCATTTCTTTTTATCACTATTTAACATTTCATTGTCCACACAATTGGACAATGTACAATAAATTGTACCAATATATTTATCCTTTCACCTACTAAAGGACATCTTGATTACTTCCAATTTTTGGCAATAATGAATAAAGCTGCTATAAACATTCATATGTAGGTCTTTGTGTGGACATAAGTTTTCAGCTCATTTGGGTCAATACCAACAACCGTGATTGCTGGATTGTATGGTAAAACTGTTTAGCTTTGTAGGAAATTACCAAACCGAATTCCAAAGTGGCTATACTGTTTTGTATTCCCACCAGCAAGGAATGAGAAAATTCCTGCTGCTGAATGCAGTCTTGTAGTTTTCATTAATGGATTAGTCGTATTTATATGAGTAAAAGAACTGATTTCAATAGAAAATGTCACAATAAGGCAATACATTAATATACCCCCAAAACCTCTGTCCTACAAATAAACTACTGGGAAAAAATTGCACCTGGTAATACATCTAAGTCCTGACAACTCTCTTCTGCATTGGATTATTTGTAATAAATACAGCCGTTCGCCTTGCAGTGTTTAAAGAGAATGAAGAGAATTCTTTGTTTAGAAAAATTGTATATAGAAATGACAAAGGCTGCATTACCTTAGAAATACTTTGTCTTTCCAACTAATTAGATTGGGCATGGTTTATTTTCTGTCATGTATTTAGTACCTATTACATGCCAGGTGCTTTACATACATTATGTCAGTTTTCACAGCAACTCCATGAAGTTGGTATTATCACCATTTCACAGACAAGAGAACTGAGGCTGAGAGAGAAAACCTGTCCATACTTGTAATTAGCTTTGTCATAATGTCCAGTGGTTGAGAATTCCAAACCCTTCTCTAGTTTTGACCATCACCTCAAAAAACAAAATGTACTACAAGTACACCTCTTTATAAAAAACCTTTTAAGGAGTAGCAAAGCAATTCAGGAGCACAGCCCATTTCAACATCATTTGTTTGATCATTCCCAAAGTAATCTGCCTTGAAGTCAAGATAATCAATGATAGTTGTACATTTCACTCTACTTGGTCTAAGATCGTACTCTGACAATTAACAGAATGAGAGAATACAGACGTGGGAGCTTGTCACTGCTTATCCAAAACATCAATACCTAACAAATAATGAAAACCTTTGTAAGTTTTGGGTGGGAGAAAGCTGGGAGAAGAGAGAAATAACAACATGGTCATTTAAAGTCGCATTAAATAAATGGCTATTAAGTGAGGCATAAATTCAGGAAAATATAAAATTTGGCAGTAAAGTTATATTTTCATCAATAGATTTGATATCTTTGATAGCTCTGGGTCTGGACATGATTTTTATCACATAACTTATTTTAGAAAGCAGTAAGTTTTCATTTCTTTTTTTTTTTTCAACATTTATTTATTTTTGGGACAGAGAGAGACAGAGCATGAACGGGGGAGGGGCAGAGAGAGAGGGAGACACAGAATCGGAAACAGGCTCCAGGCTCTGAGCCATCAGCCCAGAGCCCGACGCGGGGCTCGAACTCACGGACCGCGAGATCGTGACCTGGCTGAAGTCGGACGCTCAACCGACTGCGCCACCCAGGCGCCCCTCATTTCTTTTTTTAACATCATATACATTAGGTTTGATCTCAGTAATAAAATGGTAAATTCATTTCTTAAACCTCAGTACACCATCCTTTTGGCATCAGAGAAAAATCAATGCAGTTCCCAACAGTAAAATTCTATCTTTCTCTGCTGAAGGACTAACCCCTGTTGTTTGAGTCCATCATATTTTCAATAGTCATCTTTCCAGTGGTTTTTATCAGGGAGGAAGATTCCTATATACACATTTTAGCACCTGGTAATGTGGGTTTGAAACCAGATTTTGCCACTTAATAGCTAGGTGCCATGGGCAAATTCATAAACTTCTGTGATCCGGTAAAATGGAGCTACGAACAGCTCTTCCAGGACTCTAGTGAAGGTTTAAAAAAAAGTGAAGGGCACTTAGCCATAGGATGGAGCCTACAGTCTTCTCTGCATGGTATATGAGTAGTGGGCGTGAGTAGTGACTACTCAGGATGGCGAACGCTTTTCTGCAGTTGCTCTGCTATCCTTACTTCTCCAGGAAACATGCTGGACTCGGTTACTCTTTCCCATTGCCTTTTCTTTCTTTCTTCTCAGACTCTGATTTGAATGCCATAAATGAAGATAACATGACACAGCTACAGGAAATCAAGTTAAAATTAATGCTGGGCATCTCCCTGATGACCCTCTTCCTTTTTGTCATCATCTTGGCCATCAGCAGTGCCTTGCTGTACAAGGTGAAGACAATGAGGTAAGTCTGCAGACCTCTGGAGTCTTTGTAACAGGTGTGATATGAAGCCCACACCCTCCTTTCTTTAGTAGGCTGTTAGGAAATGCAGCTCCCAAATTTATCTGTAAGATACGAGCTTAGGCTCCATTTCCTCTATTCAGAAAGGAGCATGGGGCTGTCTCTCAGGGAGAATTTTTCCCTAGTATTTTAGTCATCTAGAGATAAAAATAACACTAGTCAATCGAAAAGGATATAGAGAATTTAGATATGCATTCTTTTTTCTAGCTTGGGAACAAAAGAACTATGACCTCTGTTCTCAACAGCACATCTACTTAGGGTCTAACATTTTTTACTTATTTATATGGCATTATACCAAGTAATTGGACAGAATTCCAATTCCATATTGTTTCAGTTTTTGTGATGCCTTTCTGAATTGAGTTGAGCTGCAAATGTATATGTAATTAGGAACAATTCTTGATACCTGTTTTCTTTTTCAGTTATAAAAGTCCAGTTCTAACCGAATACTCCGTCAACCCAGAGCTGGCAACTCTGTCTTACTTCCACCCGTCAGAAGGTGTATCAGACACATCTTTTTCTAAGAGTGCTGACAGCAGCACATTTTGGGGTACTACATCTTCAGAATTGAAAAAAGAAGACACATTGTCAAAATCTAGAACAACGGACATGATTTCCACAGCCTCAGATGATACAGGCATGAATGATGAGTCAGATTTAATTCAGAGTGAGGAACCAAGTGAAGAAACTCCCACAGATTGAATAGACATTAAGTTTGAGTCAGAAAGCAATTTCTTTGGGACTCTCATTAAGGTCATGACTTGGAAACTCTGCTGAGGAATTTAAATTTTCTGATGTCTGAAAAGGAGGACGTATTCAATAAAATTGTCTCAGCCATAAAAGTTTTATAATGGAAAAAACACAAGAAAATAAATTAAGGTGTGGAAAACTCATCCGGTAAAAATAATCCTGGACAGTGACTTATGAAAAGTATTCACTTTAGGCTGGTTCTCTTTAAAATGAAGACATTTAGATATTTATCTTATCTGCATTCTGAGGACTTTCAGGGTAATCACAATTGCCTACGCCCCACCCCAAAGCAAAAAGAACACACCTGTTTGTGTTTTACTGGTGAAACAGTTGTACCCTATCAAGAAATGAAACTAAATTAGTACTAGAGCCTCCTAGCATTCTTGTTTAAAAGTCGTCAACTTCTCAGTGGCTTAGGAGGCTCTCCATTCCAGGAGTATTTCAGTTTACAAAGAAGACCCATGGAATATGGATATTGTTTCACTTTGAGGAATTAGTTTCAACAGAAAAGATTTTAGGAACATGCATCTGGTCTTTTGTGGATGTGTGTAGAGCTGGGGGTTGGGGGAGAACTTAGGTTTCATTGCCTTCCTAAATTCTCACCTACTTTATGTTAGGCAGTTTGGTATATTATATCACACTGAATTCTATTACCCTATGAAAAGCACATTTATTTCACAGATCAAATGAAAACTCAGGTAAGTCAGATGCCTTGTCTAAGATCACCTGAGGGAGAGGGGCAAAACTAAGATGTTCTTCCAAAGCATGGTTCTCTCTGTGATCCGTGAAGGCTAACAGTCAAATATAACAAAAAACAAAGGACGCTATTTAGGAGCAAGGTCAGCCCCACATAAATATGGTGGAAGGCTCCTTAACTGAGGGTCCTTTAAGTTCTTGGAAAATTGTTCTCCCCACCCCTAGCTTATGCTTCTATGAACCTTCCCCATGGAGGATAGACACACTCTTTCCACTCACCTGCCACTTCCCCTACTGTGGATTCTCAGTCATTTGCTCACTCCCTGTTTTCTCCCTTGACTCCAGCCCCAGTCTCACCATTGGTTGGGAAAGCTAGGAAGCTCCGCCTTTGAGTAGCTTGGGACTATATAAGACCTACCCCTGAGCGAAAAGACGTGGCAAGGCAGCTCATCTCAGGTAGGCTCAGAGAGAGTACAGATCGTGACTCAGGGGTGGCCTTGAGCAGTAGCCCATGCTACCCTTTGCCAGGTCCTTTTGCCATTTTCCGTGCCCTTAGGACCGTCCCGGGGGTCAGTGCCAGCATTTGTATTGTCAGTTCAGACACCAGGAAATGCAGTGGGAAATGAGTGAGGCAGATGGTTGCAGCTGCTTGAAAGTCCTCCAGGTGTGGAGGAGCCATGGGAGCCATGTTGAATCCAGGGATGAGAAAGGGCTTATGGAAAAAAATGTCAGGTGGGCGTGAGGGGTTGACTACCATTCACTCCCACCTCTTTTCTTCACCCACCCTTGAAAATTTCCTTGATAGAAATAGATGTAAGTCGCATTTTAATGACCCAACTTCTCTCCAGGACTCAAAAGTATTAGAGAATTAATCAATACTGCATTACTATGGTTTAAATGGCCAAAAGAGATGTAAACCATATTTTTAAAAATTGGTTTCTCATCCTCAATTGGCATAGCTTGTGGAGACCACTGCAGATACCATTGTAAAGTTCAGTCAAGTTATAGTGGGGGTGGGGCATGAAGCATATTAGGTAACCTTACTAGTATCCACCTCTGTCCTCTTGCTTGGTCTAGAAGTAAGGAGAGGTCTGTATAGCCCCGGCTGGTGTGTGCGTGTGTCTGTCTGTGTGTTGGGGGTGGGGGTGCCTCATTTGTCCTCTACTAACCAAACGTACATTTCCTCAGCAGGTTCTCTAGATCTCTGTTTGCCCTGAAAGGTCATGAAAAAATTGCTTTTTAATTTCTGTCTCCCAAGCATTCTGTCTCGACTCTTATTTCCTTTCTCTGATGCCCATAATCTGCCTCTTCCCCAGCCCACAAAGAGGTACTTTGATCTATTTTCCTACTGGCTACTTAAGGGCAATTCCTACAGGGTGGCTGTTAAAAGAGAAAAGCTCTTTAGGAGGAAGAACCAAGTTGTCCCCGAGTCTCCAAGAGCAAAATCTCCCCAGCATCACACCCAGGATCAGGAGCCTTAAGTGCCAACCTCTATTCCCCTTTTCTTTATCCCTCCCATGAAAGGTATGTTTTGAGATATGTTGAACAGTGATGGTGCTATGGGGATCCTAAGTGGGAGAGTTTTTCTCAGGCCTTTTGGGTGGTCCCATGATTCCTGAAACCTGGGCGTGGAGGGGCAGTAATGTTCGGGAAGATGGAGTGGGCTGGTTGTCTCAAGAGCCCCTCTTTCCTGGGTCCAAAGGACAGGGAACATGGGGTGCAGTGACTGAGAGCCCCTCGCACACGCCCCCTTCTGCATGGGTTTCCCTGCCCACGTCGTCACGTGATCAGGGAGGCGGGGCGAGTGGCGCTCGCTGGGCTGTGGTCTCCCTGCTACCGACCAGGAGATCCCTGCTCCCGCTGCACTGGATCCTAGAAAGGCATGCACAGGTTTGCTGGCTGTAAGATGGATGTGCGTGGACTTGTGTCACCCATACCCATCATGGAATTACTCTAAGGGGTTTACTATGCTCTGGTGAAAGAAGGTGCGGTGGGACCCTGGTTGCAGCAAGAAGTGTTTATAATCCAAAGGAAATTTTCTCAGGCACCTGTAGCCTGACCAAAGGTTCTTAAGTGTGCCTTCAAATTTCAAAATTAACCCTCCAAATATAGCTTCTGGTGGGGGAAAAAAGTTGTTTGTTTTTAACTTGTGAGATGGAGAGAAAGTATAAACACATTTTTTTTTTCAATAGTGCCCCCAAAGCACTGCTTAAACAGTCCTTCCTCAATCAAGGCAACCAAATGAAACCCAGCTGATGACAGAATGCAGTTCCGGCTGGTTATCCTGAGTTTAGACCCCTGTCCGCGTTTATTTAAAGAGAAATTAGATCCAGGCGTTTATGCTTGGATCCTAGGATAGTTCTCGTTTTGGGGCTTGCTCTTGGCCTTCTCCTTCCTCCCCCCAAATGTCATTCACCTTTGTAACCCATTCTTGTACATTTCAGCAGTATTAATGTAACAGGAAAAGAGGTTGTTGAGCCAGGAGAGAGCTCCTTTTGTAAAAAAGCAGCATGTGTGTTATCAAAACATGTGGATTATCGAAAATAAATTCACAGGTTAAAAGTTGGACCACATGTTCTATCTGAAATCTCTTGTTTGAGAGAAGAGAGAAGTGTGTAAATTATCCCATAAATGATATAGGAAAATGTATCTTGAAAAGAGGGAAGAAACTTTTGATTTCCTTAGTTAAAAGTCAGAAAGGAGCTGCCAGGTATTGGGAACAGCTGTTACTGTGAGCCTTTTCTCTTGTTACTATCCTGGTTTTTTCTCAGGAGTGTGAATCCAGCTGCTCTAGAGTTTTGTTTTATTGATTGATTTTTTTTTTAAGATTTTTTTATGTTGGTGGGCAAGGGAAGGGGGCAGTTTATGTTTGAGACAATCAGTAGACTACCAGGGACCTTAATGAAAATTTTGAAGCCCACTGAATTAAGGAAAGACTAGTGCTTTAAATAATGTTTTCTTAGAGAAGATGTATTGGTGTATGAAACGATGTACAATTCGGTGTAAGTGGCATTCGGGTATTTGAACTGGTTCCAAATTGTCATTGGTTGGTAAATAATCTCAATAGGCTATATCCAAACTATATCATGTTTGACAGAGTTTAACAATTATGTATAAACCTGGCCCCACATCGGTGGGGCACTTTAGTAATAAGGCACGAATGTACTTTAATCTGTCATGGAGATGAGCTCGACATTTCAAAGACTTAAACAGAGCTAGTTCTTGACTTCTTCTGCTTCTAAGAACCGATCAGTTAGTAGATGGCTGGGTTTGGAAGAGCTTATGTCCTTTTGATAGTAAACTCCTTGTCCAGGATATTCTGGAGTCTGCATTTCATCTGAAGTGATTTTTAAAGATAAAACAAAACTTCTCTTGCATTGACAAAACTAGGCACAACCATGGAAGAACTGGAAAGGCTCAGCAAAGAAATTGAATCCGTCAAGACTGAGGTTGAAGAAAAGCAGAAGAGCCTCTCCAAGCTTGCTTTAACACATGAAGAGCCATCACAAAGTCACATGACCTCCTTCAGGAATACAAATATGAGGCAAGATTTTCTTGAAAATCGCCCGCTTCCAAAGGAAGAGTGGCACGAGCCATCAAAGAATGAAGAAAGTCAGGCCAGAAAGTATGTACTGGACCACAAATGTCCAGCAACTGATCTTGAATATGATCCCTTACTGAATTATTCTGCAGAGCTGCTTGGGGCATCGAAAGTGACACAGGCTGAGCCTGATGAACACCAAGTCTGCCGCTTGAAAAAATCTGTGGATGAGAATCGCCACATGTCCCAGGAGAGCCAAAGGCCTCATGTTTCACCAATAAGAATTACAATAAATCTTCAAGAATCTGATGAAGATGACCTTGTAATAGATGTACCTCCAATCGTGCCTACTTCTAAGAAACATAAACCATTGAGAGGCTTCAAATATCAGAATATGGATGAAAGGGTACCTATAATGTCCCCAGAGGAGAGGAGTCTTCAAATTACTGGCACAGAAGAGGAAAAAATCGATAAAACCCAACTAACCACACAAGTAGATGATGACAATAACAAATTAGAACCACCAGTATCGCTCACGCATAGCTCACTAGATACTAAAAGTAACGTAAACTTGAATCGTGCTAAAAACCACCTCCCTAAGATGGGAAGCTGTGGTGGTGGGAAAAACTATGTCTGTATTTCCGGAGAGAGCATACCTCATGCACCTCTCAGTGACAAAGAAAAACAGAACAGAATGCATAATGAAAGGTATCCACATCACAAAAAATATGTAAAAACAATTGACAATCCTCACAATGAAGAAACTGAAGGTTGGTATTCAAGCCGGCCCCAGGTCTCTCCGGCAGGTGAGCATGCAGAAGGCGAAGTGTTAGAAAGACCAGACAATAGTCGGGACCTCACTACTTTTGAGGACCGCAAGGTAGTCCAATTTGATTTTGGTAAGGAACCTACTGAGGAGGACACTCCCTCTCATTCCGGTGACACTAGGAAGGAATGCCTTCGAATTTTCACAGAGTTCACAGAAAGTGAAGCTTGTAAGGGAGAGACTACTAAACAGGTCAGTCCGTTTTTTCTTCTAAATCCTTTTCCTAAATTTGAAGGCATTTCCCTTAAACGCATACTCTATTCTGCCCTCTGTAGAAATAGAAATTATATAACGGGCGTATCTAATATATACGCTCTAATACTTGGGGCTAATAATCTATTAGAACAACAAGGTGAAAACCTTGACAGTTGGCTGGCTATAGTGTCGTGTAGACTCAACAGCCTGCAGAAGCCACGGTATTACATGGTTACAGTTGATTTCCCAGCTTAGAGGAATCCTCTGTAGTCGTGTATGCATGTCAAATTATTCAAGTTAGGTTTTGTGTGAATTATTGCTTAATAAGTTGCCTAGTATTTTATAGCTTGGATTCCTGTGGCTCTTCAGGAAACGTGCTAAATATGCCTGTAGTCTGCTGAAATTGGGTAATTCTTATCTTTTTCCCACTAGGCTTCAGGAAAGCAAACGGGATTAGATAAGTTGTATTATCAAAACCTTTCTGGACCCAAAAAGAGAATTGCACACATTGCCAAGTTCAATGTGAGTTCCTTAGCTCCTGTCTTACGGGGCACGTTATTTTATAAAATGCATGCCTTGCCATTTTGAGCCTTAAGTATATTCCAATACTTAGTGTCTTGTTAGCCACCTGGGGGCACAAGTGTACACTCAGTAACTTGATCTCTGTTTGTAAGCGTTTTCCACATTATTCACTTTTTCCCCCATTATCTAACATTTTCATGAAAAGCAGGGATGTTGTTATCACATAGACTTCTAACCAAAATGACTATGGTTGATCTTCAGTATTTCCAGATTCTGCATTTGCAAATTCTTCTCTTCACTGAAGTTAATTTGTAACCTTAAAATCATGACTCGTGTTTTGGGGGACCTTTGTAGGCCTGTGTCATGGCAAAACAATTACCTCCCACACACATTGTCAGCTAAGGCTGAACAAGGCAATACTGCCTTCTTGTTTTAGTTCTCATACTGTTAACATATGTCCTTTTCTCAATCTATTTAGTGCCGCGTTCTTTGCATGTTTGTGTTGTTTGTTGGTGATTTTGCTATTTAAAATGGCCCCCAAATATAGGGTCATCCAGTGTTCCTAAGAGCAAGAAGTCTGCCTTACAGAGATGTGTTACATAAGCTTTTTATAGGCATAAGTTACAGTGCTATTGACTACGAATTCAATGTTCATGAACCAGCAATATGTAGTAACTAAGGTGTCTTTAAACAGAAACACACAGAAAGCAAGGTTAGGTTATTGATTGGTTGGCAAAAGTGTGATCAGAGACTCACCTGAACCTGACTCTGTATATGCCCTAGGAGCAACGGTTCAGTATTCACTAACTCATTGTTTGTGGGACTCTATAGAACAGAAGTGTGGTGAATAAGGGGAATCAACTGTAGATTCTCAAAATCATGTAAATCTCTTGTAACATGGTAAATGCTGGCATGTAAAGAAGTTAAAAGGCACTGGTGTGAGTAGTACTCCTTTAACACTTCTGTGTTAAAAAGTGCCATTTAACAAGCTTTATTTCTCTGCTCAATTCTCTGTATTATTTGCACTTGGTAGACACTGACAACAGAATGCTCTGCATGACATCAAAAGAGTTTATGCTCCCAAGTCACAAATAAGAACTTGGATTCTAGTTCTTTGTTGATGTTGGATGTCCTTGGGCAAGTTATTTAATTGATCAGAGCTTTATTTTCTTTATCTGTGAAATGGTGATATTGAATATCCAAGGGTCAGATATATAGGTACTTACGAAAATCATTTCTTTCCCCTTCTCTTAGGAAAAAATTTTTGGAAACATTATTTTCCTTTATTGGCAAATGATACAGTGTTTATAGTTTTCATTTTACTTTGCTATGTAACTCCCCCCCCCCATTCTTCTATTTAAGTATTGGTTGGTTTTATCAGTGATTCCCCACCCTTAAAATAAATTCTCACAAATAGTAAGCAACAGGACAAAGGAAGATAGTTTTAACATTTTAAAAGTATATCACCATAGTGCCTTCCAGAAGGATTGTGACACTGTACATTCCTATGTGGTGTCTCAGAGTTCCCTTCCCACAAACCTTGACCAAAAATGGGTATTAAATATTTTTAAAAACCTTATCAATCTGGGTGAAATTTTATTTCCTTGTTTTGTAGGACATTTCCTACAAATGTAGGACATTTTATAGGACATTTGTTACTAATCAAGCTAAACATTCTGGTGTTCATTCTCTTCTTTTTTTATTATTTTTTTTTAATGCTTATTTTTGAGAAAGAGACAGCATGAGTGGGGGAGGGGCAGAGAGAGAGGGAGACAGAATCTGAAGCAGGCTCCAGGCTCTGAGCTGTCAGTGCAGAGCAGGATGCAGGGCTCGAACTTAAGAACTGTGAGATCATGACCTGAGCCAAAGTCAGACACTTAACTGACTGAGCCACCCAGGCGCGCCTTCATTCTCTTATTGTAATGAATGTTGCTGTAGAGAAGTCTGATGCTAGCCTGCTATTTCTCCCTTTATGAGTCACCTGATACTTAAGCCTGGTTACCTAAAGAATTCTTTCCTTAACTTCAAATTCTAGTCACTTTGGTCAGATATGTCTTGTTAGCAGTTTGATTAACACTTTTACCTTCATACAAAGTGAAGTGTCATTTTCATATGAGAATTAATGTCTCTCAGTTCACAAAAGTTTTACTAAATTAAATGTTCAAAGGTTCAGTTTTATCTCTGCATATTTCTGGGGATACTCCACTTATGTGTGTGTTGAATCCCATGGGGTATTACAAATGTAGTCCATTCCACAAGCCTTTGTGCAAAAAGCGATAGTGAAATGATCAGTCTTTTTACAACTTCTTAAAATCATTCTTCCGTTTTGTGTTGATGCTGTATAGGTTCCAACCAGTAAAGACATCCTTAGCCCATTCAGGGAGCCAGTGGCACCACTGATGAGTCGCCCTGGCATCCTTCGTGCCCAGCAACAGGCAGCACAGATCACGGCTGACATAAAGAGTGGGCAGGCTTTTGTTGCTGCCACTTCAGAACAAAAGAAAACTACATTTGCATGTCCAGTCTCTCAGACCCAAAGGAGAGTCTCAGGAGGTATGAGAAAATCACTTAGTCAAGAAATGGGATTTTACCTTATTTTAAAAAGCATTTCCTATGAAATCCATATATTACCAATTATAGCTGAGTCATTCACGTGGAACTTTATGTGAAAAATATGATTAGCATGATATTTATATAATGTATGCTGTTTGTCCCTAAATGCTAAGCTATAGATGGTAATACCTTATAAGCATTTCTACATAAAGTGAATTGCTTTATAAATTATCTAAATTTGTTCTTATAGATGATACTGGGGTTAACTATTGGGAATTTTTTGTGTTGACATTTTGTTTCAAGAAAAAAAATAGAGTCTGTAAAGGAAGTATTATGAAACCTTGAATTGATAATTAAACTCTAATCATCTGAGGCTAATGTCATTAACTCTTACCTTTTTTTTTTCTTTCTTTTTCTTTTTTTTTTTTTTTGTCATTGAAACAGAAAATTCACTTACATCAACCAAGCTTCATCAGGATGTATTTCTATCAAGGGAAAAGCCAAATGCAAAACCAAGCAGATCACACATTCCTGTGAAAAGTGTTGCTGCTTTTCCTGTAAAGGTATTATAAACTAGGTCTGAAGGCCAGAATTTTAGTGCTAATAATCAACTTACCTGTCTACATATAGAGGTCCTGGGAGATTGAATATATATATATAATTATATTTTATATAAAAATATTTTTATACAAAAATATATTTTATATTAACAAAATATATATATATATATATTTTTTTTCCTGGAGATCCCTCCTTCAGATACATGGCAGACACCAGAGAGAAATTTCAGCTTTTTCTAGTTACTGTCAGATAGTTATTGTCATTATATGATGGGATTTGTGTCTGTGTGTCCATATTGAACTATGTTGTTTATCCTGTTCCTGGAAATATTAGGCATATTTTAGACGTAAAACTTCAGTGGCTCTGATTAAGACTCCTCAACTTTTTTTCAAAGGAAAGTTTCACGTTGGAATATACCTTTCAAGAGACATCCAGTGAGGGGTGTATATGTGTGTGTATGTGAAAGAGAGAGAGAGGCAGGTGGACCTTTCATAAATTATGCCAACAGTGATGGCAGTCCCTCCTTAGTAATTTTTCTCCTATTTGTGGCAATTATTTTTTTTTTTCTGTTTACTAAGTATTCTTCAGCAGAAAACTACCTGTCACTTTTAAGGATTTCTTCCTCCTAAAACATCTTTGTGCTTCAAGGGAACAACTACAGGAAAGTGTAACTTTTTTTTAACCCCCCCCCCCCAAAAGTGAGACAGATTCACTGATTGTACAGTTCTCAAAGTATCAATAAGTTCTTCTAAAGGAATGCTAACATTATTTATAGCTGGGATATTACTGACAATATTGAGTATGTATAAATCTTTGGTAACTTTTATTTAATCTGAGCATTTTTCTTTGTGAATGGTAACTGACGTTGGGACATAAATTCTTCTTAAGAATGGTACGTGACAAACTTTCCTATTTGCTGAGAAGAGCACGCCAGAGCTCTAAGATTCTGGCTGTGGAGAGTAGAGAGATGATTTGAGTAATCGGGTCAGCTAGAATGGGGTACTCACAGGTAACTTCACTGGTTCCGCATCCTCATGGCTCCCTTTTGTGAGCGTAGGTAACGTTATGCCTTATATTTATTCTATTTTTTAAATGTTTCTTTTTGAGAGAGAGAGAGAGCACATGTGTGCAAGCAGGAGAGGGACAGAGAGTGAGGGAGTGAGAGAATCCCAAGCAGGCTCCTCACTGTGCAGATCCTGATGCAGGACTTGATCTCAGGAACCATGAGACTGAGTCACCCAGGCGCCTTCCTATTTACTTTATTTTTAATGAATTTATAACTTTAAATTAGTTTTGAATTTAATTGATAGAGAACTTACCTGAGATAGTTGTACTTGTTTCCTACACATAGTAGCAATTTTAAACAGAAACATGTGTTTTTCTTTTCGCTAATCAACAACTCTGTTTAACAAGATGCCGAAATACAAAGTGGCTCATCGGAAGCGGGCTTTAGTCACATCAGAATCCTCTGTCAAAGTCCCTGAGGAAGTAAGACAACGCTATGTCAACCTCTTTGTTGAGAAGTATTTGACAGTTTATAAAACAGAGGATGAGGCTGTTAACAAGGTCAGTATATCTGAAGACACACACTTCAAAAGTATTCTATTAAAAAAAAAAAAAACCTCAAGAAACAACTTTATTCTTTTTCTCTTCCCCTTTTTCGAAACCAGGCTGTGGGACTGGTTCCTGGAGGATCTTTTTCCTATCCTTAAGTTGTAAAGAGTACCCTGGTTACTCTAGTGACAAAAACTGTCTTAGTCCTATAATTTTCTTTTTTTTTTATTTTAATTTTTTATTTCTTGGGGGGGGGGGGCTCAAGTGAGTGAGGGGCAGAAAGACAGAAAGAGAGAGAATCCCACAAGGGGAAGAGAGAGAGGGTGAGAGAGAGAAGCAAGGTTCCCCTGAAGTGGACCTTGAACTCATGAACCCTGAGATCCTGACCTGAGCCTAAGTTGGTGCTTAACCGACTGAGCCACTCAGGTGCTCACTTGTCAAGGCCAATAGTATATTAATCTGAGCAGTGTCTCCCCTCCTTTATATGAAGCATATACTGTCAAGTGAGTCATAGTCCCCACTACTCCCTATTACATACCACTATTTATGCTCATTTATGGGCCAGATCTGGTCTCTTGGAGGCACTTGTCTTTGAAAATCTACTCAAAGCCTTTTTTTTCCAGAATGAAACCTTACAAATCAGGAGCAATAACCATAGCTCCTGTCCCCATGCATATCTTCAAAAGCCTTTGTGGACTCTGGGAGTAATAAGGAGTCAGGGAACTATGGCTCATACACACAATAAGTGCAATCTAAAGGGGAAAGACACTACTCAGCTCCATCTGATAATTGCAGTTTGGCAATTCAAGGTCAATATTTACAGATTTCTAGTCCTTGAAGACTTTTTATGTTAAAGTATTTTAATATTTTAAATATTAAAATTTTTAATATTTTAAATACTAAAATTTTTAATATTTTAAATATGGTTAGACAAACACACATCTGAACACTAGATTTGGGCTTGGTTGAGGCTAATTCCCACTTCTCTGGAAGGTTATGAAAAGGACCATGAGTGAAAGCAACGAGAGGCAAATCTTACCCCAATTGTGAGGAAGATCCTTATAACTGACACCTCTGCCCATAAAATAGCTGTTTCTTAGAGAGTAGTGAGCTGCCAGTTGCTAGAAACATTGGGGATGTAAGTGAAGTTGTCATCATAACAGATTCTTGTATTAAGAGCGAGGAAGGACTCAGAAGATTCTCTTTATTAACAGTTTCATTGAGATATACTTCACATACCCTATTAATTCACCCATTTTATGTGTACACTGGAGTGACTTTGAGTATATATACTCAAATCAACCACTTGTGCAATCACTACAATTAATCTTAACACAATTCCATCACCCCAAAGAGATCATCTGTTACCGTTCATCTGTCACTCCCCTAGCCCTCCATATCTCCTAGCCTTGGGCAGCCACTCACTTACCTTCTCTGTAATTTGCTCTTCTGGACATTTCTAGAATGAGGACTCTGATAATAAGGGATTTTGTTGTGACCAGCTTAATGTTTTCACTTAGAATACTGTTTTCAAGGGTCACCCATACTGTAGTATGCATCATTACTTAATTTCCTCTTGCCAAATAAGACTGGTTTATGGATATACACATCTGTTCATCAGTTGATGGACATTTGGGCTATTTCCATTTATTGGTTATTAATGAACATTTGTATATAAATGGACATTGTAAGATTTTGTGTCAACAGATGATGATGTTTCTCTTGAGCATATAATTGGGTTGAATGACAATTCTGTATTTAACTTTTTGAGGAAATACCAAACCATTTTCCAGAGTAGCTACACTGTTGTATATGCCCATCAGTGATGTGAACAGTTCTAGTTTCTTCACATCCACGCTAGTGCTTGTTACCTGTATTTTGTGGAGCTTATTGGGCATGAAATGGTATCTGATTGTGATTTTGATTTCCCTAATGCCTAATGATGTTGAACATATTTTTCTGTGCTTTTTGGCCATTTGTATGTCTTCTTGGATATGTCTGTACACATATGTTCAGTTCTTTGCATATATTTTTAGTTGTCTTTTTATCAAGTTTTGAGAGTTCTATATATATTTTGGATACAAGTGTCTTAGTAGATACAGTATTTACCAATAGTTTTTCTTTGAGTTGTATTCTTACTGTCTTGACTGGATCATTTGCATTACAAAAAGTTCTTCATTTTGATATATTCCAATTCATCTGTTTTTCTTTGTCACGTGTGATTTTGGTGTCCTATCTAAGAAACAAAGATCACAAAGATTTATTACTACTTTATTTTTTCTCAGAATTTTACAGTTTTAGTTACTACATTTAGGCATAGTATTCACTTTTTTAAATGACTTTTACATAAGGTATGAGGCAGGGGGTCCAAACATTCATTTGAATGTGGATATCCAATTGCCACAGCACCATTTGTTGAAAAGATTATTTTTTCGCCATTTAATTGTCTTGTCACCTTTGTCAAAAATCAGTTGATCATAAATACTAGATAAAAATGAACATAAATTCTGGACTCATTTTATTACATTGATCTCTATTTCTATCCTATACCAGTATTACACAATCTTAATTACTGTTGCTTTGTAGTAAGTATTGAAGTTGGAAACGTGACTCCTCCATATTTGTTAAATTTTTTAAACTGTTTTGGGTCCCTGGAATTTCCATATAACTTTTAGGTTCAGCTTGTATTTCCTACAGAAATACTGGATTATAATTTTGATAGCAGTTGCTTTGAATCTCTAGATCAATTTGTGGAGGATTGTCATTTAACAATATTAAGTCTTGTGAACCATGAACATGGAATGTCTTGTGGGTTTTTTTTTATCTTTTAATTCCTTTCAACAGTGTTTTGTAATTTTCAGAGTATAAGTCTTTAACTTTTTTGTTAAATTTATTCCTAGCTACTGTATTAACACTATTATAAATGGAATTATTTTTGTAATTTTATTTTCAGATTGTTCATAGCCAGTGTACAAAAATACAATTAATACTTTTTATCTTGTGTCTTGAACCCTTATATGCCTATTAATTTTTTTTAAGTTTATTTATTTGAGACAGAGAGAGAGAGAGAAAGAGAGCATGCACAAGTGGGAAAGGGACAGAGTGGGAGAGAGAGAGAGAGAGAGAGAGAAGGAGAGAGAGAGCATCCCAAACAGGCTACACACAGCGCAGAGCCCAATGAGGGGCTTGAACTCAAAAACCTTGATCATGACTTGAGCCAAAGTCAAGAGCCAGACACTTAACTGACTGAGCCACCCAGGCATGCCCCTATTTATTAACTCTAATAGTTTTCAGTGAATTCCTTGGGATTTTCTTCAAAGAAGATGATATCAACTGCAGATAGACACAGTCTTACTCTTTCCTTTCCAATCTGTATATATTTTATTTCATTTTCTTGCTTGATTTCTGTAGCATAAATTTCCAGTAGAATATTGCGTGGAGGTGGTAAGAGGGGGCATCCTTGTCTTGTTCCTTTCCCTAAGAGGAAAGCTTTCAGTCTTTCTCCGTTAAGTACAGTGGTTACTGTAGGTGGTTTTTTAGTTGTTTTTTTTACATGTCCTTTATCAAGTTGAGGAAGTTCCTTTCTATTCCTAGTTTAAGTGTCTTATCATCTTGACTTTTATTTATTAATAAATAAAAATTTTTTTGTTAATTTTTTTTATTAATCTTAAACTCATGCATTTCTTGGATAAACACCCTTGGTCACGGTGTATAGTCTTTTTATGTTGCTGGACTCAGTGTGCTAGAATTTTTGTGTCAATGTTAATTAGGTCTACAGACACGAGTCTGTAATTTTTTTTTTTTAAATTATTACTTTTCTCAGCATGAAGCCCAACATGGGGCTCCATCCCACAACCCTGGGATTATGACCTGAGCTGAAACCAAGACTTGGATGCTCAAGCAACTGAGCCACCCGGGTACCCCATTACTGTTATATTTATTGTGATAAAATATGCATGACATAAACTTTCTCATTTTAACCATTTTGGGTGCACAATTCAGTGTTACTAAGTACCTTCACAATGTTGTTTAACCATCACTACTATCCATTTCCAGAGCTTTTTCTTCATCCCAAATAGAAACTCTGTACCTATTAAGGTAATGAATAACTTTTCATTCTTCTCTCCCCGCTCAGCCCCATGTAACCTCTATTTTAATTTCTGTCTCTGTGAATTTGCTTACTACAGGTACCTCATCTAAGTTGAGTCATGCAATATTTGTCCTTTTGTTTCTGGCTTCATTGACTTAGTGTAATGTTTCCATAGTTCATTCATGTTGTAGCACATATCAGAATTTCATTCTTTTTGGCAGCTGAATAATACTTTATTGTGGTACCACATTTTCTTTATTCTAGTGATGGACATTGTAGCTTTCTTTGCTTGTAGTAACTTATTCTTTTTTTGGAGTCTCAGGGTTATATTGACCTAATAGAATGAGATGTAAAATGTTCCCTTTTTTAATTTTTGGAAGATCTTATGAATGGTTACTATTCCTTTTTTTTTTTTTTAATCTTGTTTAAATGTTTAGGGGAATTCATCAATGAGGTCTGGGCTTGTGGATATTTTTTTAATTACCAATTCATCTCCTAGGTCTACTCTTGAGTCAATTTCATGAGGTTTTATCTTTCTAAAATTTCACATGTCATCTAAATTTTATAATACATTGGTATATATTTGTTCATAGTATTTCTTTATCATTCTTTTTATTTCTGTGAATTGTGTGGTGATGCCTTCTCTTCCATTACTGATTTTAGTAATTTGAGTCTTATTTCTTTTTTCTTAGCCTAGCCAAAGTTTTGTCAATGTTGTTGACCTTTTCAAAGAACCAACTTTTGCTTTTTTAGTTATCTCTATTTTAGAAAATTCTTCATTTCATTTATTTCTACTCATTATCATTTCTTTCCTGCTTTCCTTGGGTTTGGTTTACTAGTAAAATTACAGTTTCTTAAGATGGAAGGCAAAGTTTTTAATTTCCATTTTATTTTTAGTAAAGCCATTTACAATAGGAATTAT